ACTTTCTGACTAATGAGAATCTGACTCTAATTATCAGACTGAAAGAAGCCAGGTGTGTATGGTCACGGCCCTCCTGAATTATAGTTAATACCATGTTTATGTGCTGGGGGTGAATCATAGCAAAATTAATTCAATTAAGTCTTCAAATCTTAAGTCATCCTTTTTTTCAGTATTCTCGTATAAAATAATGGTCTGTATGTGATTTGTCCTTTGTTCAAAACGGTTTTATCATATTTATTTCAGCTTCCTTCCCTGTTGTCTTTTTTAGTTTACTTTTTGGTGATACAATAATTCACTAGCTTCCTCTACCAGTTTTGACTTTTTGTTAGAAAGGAGACATGCTCTACAGGTAGACACTCTTATAACTGTAACTACACATTTAGAAGAATCCAAATGTTGCTCCTAACACTTGCAAGTGAATGTACTAATACAGGGCAATAAAAATATAAGATGTTAACAAATAATTACTACTTTTATTGAGCATGGCACTAGTAGTAGCTCATTAAGCAAATGTGAGTTACCAGAAACGGCATACCCATACAAATATTTCCACAAATTAGAACAGTTTTAGCATTTTCCTTCCCTGGTGATAATATGAGATTGATTGAATTCCCTGCCTCTGGCATTGTTCAGAAATATATACCTTATGGGAACCAGTACAAGTTTTAGATCTCAACTTTATCTTAACCATAGATTGGACGCTAATAAAAACCATCCATGTCAGACATTAAAAATGGTAGAGAGCCTTTACTATCGGATGTTAGCAGAACGGCCATACTAGCTAACTGGATCATGTTGTAATCCCCTGTTTCCATGCAGTATACACTCAGTTTAAAAACAAATTTCATAATGAAATGATGGAAGATGTGCAAAACAAAGATAAACAAAAACTAAAAATACATCCAAAGAACAATAGATGATAACATGTTCTTCTATTAATCTCCATCCATTAAAATAAAATGGATCAAACACAGCCTAGACTAGAGGGTCTTTCTAACTTTTGATCCTGTCACATAAACAAACATTAGAAACAAACATTTAAGGGTTTATTAATTGGGAATACTGGGAATTGCTGCCCACTGAAAAAGAGATTGACAATGTAAGGCAAAATAACTATGCTAGACAAAAAAAAAACATTTGGAGAGTTTTTGCGATTTACTTAAAACTTGATGTTCTCTTGTCATTTGTTCACTTTAAAGGGACTCTCCAGTGTCAGGAAAACATAGTTACTGCAGTGCCCCTCTTCCTTCCACCCCCCATTCCAAGTTCAGTGACTTACCGGAGTCCAGCGCCGATGTCCCTCGATGGGTCAGTCTCCGCCTATTCTCCTCTACCGCCGACGTCAGCCGACTGGGGAGACCTAATGCGCATGCACACACATAAGACCTCCTCATTGGAAAGCATTATTCAATGCTTTCCTATGGGGATTTCAGCGACGCTGGAGGTTCTCACATAGTGTGAGGATGTCCAGCGGCGCTTAAAACACTTTTCGTGGTCTAAGAACACAGAAGTCCCTCTAGAGGCTGTCTGATAGAGGAGGACTTAACCCTGCAATGGTTTTTTTTATAAAAACTGCAATAATTACACTTGCAGGGTTAAGGGTAGTGGGAGTTGGCACCCAGACCACTCCAATGGGCAGAAGTGGTCTGGGTGCCTGGCGTATCCCTTTAAACACATGACATACCAGCTGAAGTTAATGCACATTGCAGTAAAGATATTTACTTTGATGATATTTGTAATCTTGGTTAAAGTTTAGAGCATAAAGCAGGATAGCTTACAGACCTCACCTGGTGCCTTACAACCAAACAACAGAGGTGACCAACCTATATTCCCCTGCTACTGTTCAGTCATGACAATGTTCATCAGGGGGAGGTGCAACCCAGAATAGTGTGAGGAGGACAGGAGCGTAATCCTGACAGAGCAAGGCATGGGAACTCAAACTAAGGCAATAAGAGCCCAATAAAATCCTCCATTGAAGCACTTTCTCAGTTGAAGATATTTGCTGCATTTGCAGCCAGGACAATAACTACATTGTATTATATTCCTTAAGATGCGAAGGGCTTTATTCCTAAAAAGGAGGCTTGCACTAATTTGCATACATTAGTATAGTCTTAAAAAGGTGAAAGTTTCCCTTTCCTAATGAAGGTGAAATCTTACCCTGTGTGAGAACCAGCTACAAACAGAAATTTAAACCATAAAATTATAAGTAGGATAGAAAAGTGATTGTCAAATTTAATCGGATTAACTGGATAAACAGCTTCATTCACCATGAGGCAGAATACATTAAAAGTTGGCTTCACTCTGTGTCAACAATGCAGAGGGAAAAGTCACCGATAAAGCTTAGTCTGAGCACAGTCTCCACAGACAGGCAAATCTAATGCAAAGCTTACTGGCTTATTAGCTTTCATGACAATGCTATTTATATCATAAAGATTAATTCCTGTTATTACAGACATTTTGTTTAAATAAAATAATAATTGAAGTGCTGCAATAATTCTAGAATTCTTGATATTTTCCTGTTATAGTTCCTCTTTCCTTTCATACATGGAGTCACAAATTTTGGAGGGAGTCTTCACATGAATACATTCTACATATATTTTGCTACATGCACAAAATCAGGTTTTTGTGATTGTGTCACTGACGCCATAGAATGTTATCATGAAATATACAAAACAATAAATGGGAACTAAATGCATTCCATATTGGGTGTGTTCACAATGTTTAAAATAATTTTTTCTCTTCTCTTTTTGCTCTGTTCTTTCATTTACAATGTTGTGATATTTTATATTGAGCGAAATTGTATTGCTAAATGCTTGAACAGTGTTTTCAATAAAAAAAAAAAAAAAAGGGTTTTGCCCCATTGAAAAAGCAAAAGTTACATTAACCCCTTAAGGACACATGACATATGTGACATGTCATGATTCCCTTTTATTTCAAAAGTTTGGTCCTTAAGGGGTTAAAGGTGACTAGGGGTCCCAACTCCCCTAGTCCAGTGTCTGCATGCAGAGGGAGGAGACACTGAATGGCAGTGCTGCACACTAGGCAGGACTGCCCAAGGAAGCACCTCTAGCAGCCAACTAAGGAGTGGCCAGTAGTGATGTCCCGAACGGTTCACAGAACGGTTCGCCACAGGGGGCGAACATATGCTCTGTTCGGTCCGCCCCCTGTGTCATCATTGAGTAAACTTTGACCCTGTACCTCACAGTCAGCAGACACATTCCAGCCAATCAGCAGCAGACCCTCCCTCCCAGACCCTCCCACCTCCTGGACAGCTCACTAAGAATGCAGCTTCACAGTGAATGTAAAATGGATGCTGTCCAGGAGGTGGGAGGGTTTGGGAGGGAGGGTCTGCTGCTGATTGGCTGGAATGTGTCTGCTGACTGTGAGGTACAGGGTCAAAGTTTACTCAATGATGACATAGGGGTGGACCGAACAGCGCATATGTTCACCGTCCGTGGCGAACCGTTCGACGAACCATTCGGCGAACCGTTCGGGACATCACTAGTGGCCAGTGAAGTTATCACTAGGCTGTAATGTAAACACTGCATTTTCTCTGAAAAGACATTGTTTACAGCAAAAAGCCTCAAGGTAATGATTCTACTCACCAGAACGAATTCAATAAGCTGTAGTTGTTCTGGTGACAATACTGTCCCTTTAAATAAGGGGATTCTATAGTGTTAGAAATACACAATTGTATTCCTAACACTATAGGGCATTCTGTTCCCCCCTCCCTTGTGGCCTCCCCCCATAATGTAGATAGTTAAAAACTCACCCAATTGTCCATCAGCGCTAAGGCGGCGCTCTGCCTCCTCTGACATCATTCAATGGGGGACCTAATGCGCATGCTCGGTGAGCATTGTGGGTGCATTAGGCCCTCCCCATAGGAAAGCATTGACTTAATGCTTTGTTATGGGGATATTACTGAGGGCATCTAGTGTCATTTTAGAATATTTGTCTCCGAGTCCCATCCATGAAATTTTCACCAAGATACATTTGACCTTATAAGGTTCTAAGACGCATCAGTCCTGTCACTTATACTCTGGAGTTGCATATATCTCTTCGTAAACGAAGTACATTTCATATAGCCCTCCTGAAGCCTCTGATATACAGTCAGTTTAATCGGTCTGTGAGTAGAACTGGACCTGTCTCTGTTGAAAAAAATAATGAGTTTGAAGTTTTGCAATATCTAGTATATTGGAAGGGATACGATCCAGAGGAGTGTTCTTGAGTTCCTTTTTCTGATTCATGCACCATGTTTGGTCCGTGTGTTGCATGCCCAATTTCCTCACAAGCCTTCTGCTCTCCACATTGCAGGCAGTCCTCAAAGGGAGGTATTGTCAGGGCTGCTGGCATCTTACCTCAGGCATTCTATTTGATATAGCACACTCACTCTCTCTGGACCTGAATCCGGTGTGCTCCAATAATGTCATAGCTCAGCCTGACATGGATTTGTACCACCCCCAAGTCATCTGGAACTCTAAGATGAAGTTTCCAATAGAAATCAAGTCCTGCCTATTTATACTCACCTGCTCTATTCATTGTTGCCCTGCTTTGTTTCTAGTTTCTTGAATAAAATCTTGGAAACACCCACTTGCTCAAGAATCAATCAACCATAGCATTCTTGTTATTCCACTGTCAGAGAAGAGGAATAGACAGATGAGGAGCAGTCTCACTTTTAGTGAGCTTCACAGTTGGAGAGTTACTAGGGGTGTTATCTCCATATATGGCTGCCTCGTTTGTGAGGGTCGTTTGAGAGTCATGTGGTTGGGTTTACCATGATAGAGACACAGTCTGCTATTCTGTCTTCTGATTAATTCTTCCAGGGGTATGTGACCATTCAATAACCTCATTTGCATACGTTCCTAAGAGGTGGTTCATGAGAGAGGATGCAGACCAGGATGTTTCTTCCCATAAAGGAGTGTGCCATAGCATCCTATGTTTTTTGAATCAGCAGTCCAACTGCTTTGCCAATTAGATAAGGGCTTCCAGGGAGGATGGAACTCCAGTTCTTGGTAAACCAGCTTTGGCAGGGGCTCTTTAAATGCTTAGGAGAGCCCCTGCCAAAGCTGGTTTACCAATTATTACTAGTTATTTTCTACCAATGATAAGTTATAACAAGAATAAAAAGAAGGGGAGATACAGCGCTAACTCCAAAGGCAGCAGAATAAGGTCTTGGAGACCCTGATAACCCAAGAAGAATAAGGAAAAAAATACAGAAGAAAACAGACTGCATCAAATAAGAAATACTAGATAATCTTATACAGATATATGTATACACAATATATATATATAAAAACATTGAGATATAACAATAATAAAGAGTCCCAGCAGAAAAAGTCTTTTTTTGGACATAAGAACTTTTTGGAGGTAGTGCTTTTTTGCAGGTCAGTCTGTTATCCGCCTTAGTTTTCAAGTGGACAAAACTTTAGTGCAGATGAGGAATTCTGTTGTTGGTGTCATATGAGATAAAACACAAAAGAAACCACCAATAGTGTAATCCAGTATGTACAATGTTTTAGGTAAAACGAAGATAAAATACACTCACAAGGAGAGAGCTTCTATTAAGCTCTTAGATTGGCTCTGAGCGGTACATTCCCCGCTCAAGGATAAATTTGTCCTCTTTTGATGTTCACAATGTAAACGGCATACGAAAGGAATAAAACGAGATATAGTGTTTTAAACAATAGTACTTTAAAAAAAATATTGAAAATCTACTCACAATTTCAAGAGCACCTTCTGCTCAGTGATATCAGCTTGGGTGGTATGATCCCCACCAAGGATATATGTAGGTAGATGTCTTTGACATTAAAAAATAAAATGCAGGATAAAAAATACATTAAAAAAAAATTGAAAGGTAAAAACAATGTTTACTGTAATATACCACACAAAATAAAAATGGATTAAAAAGTCCTTATACATAATCACAATGCGTTTCACCCACAGGCTTTCTCAAGTGATTATATAGAAATACTTTTTAAATCTGTTTTTATTTTGTGTGGTATCTTACAGTAAACATTGTTTTTGCCTTTCAAATTTTATATTTATTTTTTATGTATTTAAAGAGTTATTTAGTAAAGTGAGAATTCAATCTGAATTCAAGGTGTAGCCAAGCTAAAAGTATAGATGAGTTAGAGATTTTTTTCCCGTTCAGCTATTTTGACTATAAAGAGTTACTCCAACCACCATAACCACTTCAGGTATTTGAAGAGGTCGTGGTGGTATGAGTATGTATGGGCAGTGTTGCAGCTTGAAACACTGCTCATACTAAGATATTATGAAAGTATGTGCTCAGGGCAGGTTGCAATCTCAGCACATGTGACAGTGGAAGTCCAGAACTCTGTTCCGGGCTGACTACTGTCAATTCTGTGCATATTTAACATCTGTTGTAAATGTGCACTGCATGCTGGCAACAGACATTAACATTTTCCATTGGCAGGCAGAGCTTCTGCAAGGGGAAGGTAGCTCTCTAATCCCTCTGTCCCACCCACTGTGTGCTTCTCCCACCTTCCTCTATTGCCAAAACATAATTTTCTTTTTTTTTTCCCTCTCTTTTTCTCCCACTCTCTCCCCTCCCATACATGCACTCTGAGCCGGTGAATCGGTCCAATCACAGGCTTCTCATAAAGCCTTTCATTTGACCTGGTGTGGCTGTATGTACGTCACAAAGAAGAATGGAAAGTGGCACCGGGAGCTTCAAGCGGCATTGAATTCATTTTACGCCTACTTTTTACTTAAACGAGAGGGGGGGGGACCTAAAGTATAATATTGAATAGGGTATTTGTATACATTACAGCAATGCGGTTGAGAAAAAGTGTTGGAGTAACCCTTTAAATTTGAAATTCACTTCAAATTTTTGCCTTAGTGAATAACCCTGTAAATTCCCTCTAGTAAATCAATCTATTAGTGTATTTTTGTGAACATTGCAATGTACTATTTAGGGAAAACAACAAGCAACAATACAACATTGCCTTTGTACATCACCCTTGACAAGTTTAAATTAATGTTTACTGTGTAACTGTAAATGCAATGGAAACGTAAAGACATTTTTCACAACAAAATTAAAAAAGAAAGCTTAGAGAGCTTGAACTTTGAAGAATTATTCAGTGATCATTTTATTGAATTGATATTTGCTTTGTAAGTGCTATGTGTACATGTTCACATGTTCACCTTCTATTAACTGCATTCAGGCATTGCAACCATATTGATTTTCCTTTCTCATAAGCATTATCGACCAAGAACTGACCTTTTGAAGGGGGAGCGCACAATGGAGGAAGTATCTTTGTTAAATTTCCAAAAGATCATTTGTTCTGTGTTTTTATAGAGTTAAAACACAGTTCTATGTATCAGTTTGTATAGTGCAAATGAAAATACATCAGAGAACATTCTGCTGTTTTGTGTGTTTGCACTACATATGTGTCAATTTTTTCATGTCGATACACAATGGCCAAAATGTCCTCTTGTTAGTGTCATTAATTGTACTTCTGTTTTACATGACTTTGTCTTTTTAGCTTTACAACTTTCTAATATAGGTTCTATTACCTAGGTTATACATACCTATTATATATTTGTGCCTATGCTTGCCATGAAAATGTAAATAGATATTTAAAAAAATAAATAATCGATTAAAGATCAGTTTTATTCAACAGTTTGAATAAGGAATAAGGTATATAACTTGCATGCTATTTAGATAATAAAAACCTCCAAGTGCCATAATTTGCATAAGTTATTTTGCAAGGAGTTCACTATATGTCAGTGTGTGTAAACACTGGTGCATGCACGCAAACTATTTGTGACCACTGAATTATTTAACCCATAAATCATTTTAGGGGCAGTAATGTGCAGCAACTATACAATATCAGGATAGATTCTAGAACTTCAAATTTGGAAGACTAACATAGATACCCCCACAAAAATAAATAAGTAATATAAATATATATATATATATATATATATATATATATATATATATATAGCTAATAAAGGGGTGCACTCAGAGGTCTTTCAAAAAATGAAAAGTGTTTAATTAATCATCTAAATTACATACGTGTCTGACCAACATTTCAACCTATTTGGGTTTTTCTCAAGATCACAGTGTAACACAATAAACCAATATTATATAGTTGAAGTGTGAAAAAACTTGGAAGTTGGTAACTTGGAGACCACATGACACTTGACGTAGAAATGCTGTGCCTCTGGTATATATATATATAGTGTGCCAAAGGATAGCTGCTCACCGGTCTTTAAAATTCCAATATTTTATTTAGTTCAAGTTAAAATATTTTCAATAATTTAACTTGAACTAAATAAAATATTGGAATTTTAAAGACCGGTGAGCAGCTATCCTGTGGCACACTGTACTTTTGGAGTCCAGGCTATGGCACCCGGCATTATTGGATACTTCTAAGCGTGAGTGCGGGGGAAATTGTATTTTTTATATATATATATATATATATATATATATATATATATATACACACATACATACATACATACATACATACATGTATATATATATATATATATATATTGTGATCCTTGTCAGCAGGTAGCACGGTCCTCTAGGGCAAAAACATGCACAGTCCTTGTAATTCATATACTCCAGGCACTTTATTTGTAAGTTCACACAGGATACAGCAGTAAAATGAAAACATAAATGTAACAGAAAACCCTATAAACAAAAACCTAGCTCGGTCTGAGCACTAACTCACTTTAGGTTCCCTATCTCTCAGGGTTAAACTAAACACAATATTGCACCAACCTTATTAGAGAGCAACGCTCTGCTATCTAACCTGTTGCTTTCCTTTCTGCACTCCCAGTGCTCCAAGCCAGCCTTGCCCTGACTGCTTTGCTTTCTGCACTCCCTGTGCTCCAAGCCAGCCTTGCCCTGACTGCTTTCCTTTCTGCACTCCCAGTGCTCCAAGCCAGTCTTCTTGACTATCTGGAGAGAACAGCCTCTCTCTCCTACCTGCTTCCTGGGAGGAAGCCAGCAATCCCTCTCCTTTACCTGTCTAGCAGGGAGGAGTTTATTCCCACTGCAACAGCTCATTAACTGCAGCTGAGCAGTGGGTTGGAGACGATCCAAAAAACCCTGGCCTGGATCCATGTCTCCCCAGAAAACCACTAAACTGTGGAGTGGAGCATTGGCCCACCCTTCTCTCCAAATGCTCCACCCCAGGGGCCCATAACTAAACAGTGTTTTGTGTTGTGCAACACACAAACTACACTTTCTTCCCCTGGGGTTAAAAGGCCTATCTGCCTTCACTTTATCACATATCCTCCCCCCCAGCTCAGACCCATCGGGTCGAGCGACCTTAGAATACAAACCATGAACAATCACGTCACCTAGGGCTGTACCAGCCCTGACTTGCTCCTCAGTTACAGGAAGTGGCCTATTGCAGATGGCTGCTACCTTGCTCCCTTGTAGTTTAAGGAACCCCCACCCAAGTGGATAACCCAAATAGTTAGCTGCCTCAAATCCTGGATAACACTTAGTGTTAGCGGTCAGACCGGCAGCCCTTACATTATTCACAACTAACTGGACCCTCATCAGGTGTGCTTCCAAGTCCACCCTGTGAATCGCCACATCACCAAGGTAGGCAGCTGCATTCTCTCTGTTGGGCCAAAGTATCCTATTCATATGCAGAAAGGGGGCTGGTGCACTATGCAACCTGAATGGCAGTACTTTATGTTGCCATAACCCCTTGGGAGTAGAAAACGCTGTCCTTCCCTTTGCTTTCTCTGTCAGGGGAACCTGCCAATACCTTATGACCAGGTCCAAGGTACTCAGAAAACTGGCCTTACTTATACGCTCTTGCGTTTGAGCTACATGTACTACAGGGCATTTAACTTTTACTACCTCTGTGACAAACTCTACCTCTGCCATGGGGTATGTGCGGGTGTCACCATGTGTACCCACAATATCGATCACTTGTCTTAAACCAAATTTTTCTGGCTGGAGCAGAACACTTTTCAAAGTAGCCTCACTCCCTGAATTAATTAGTGCTTGTGCACTCTTCCCTACCACCATCACCACTTTTAGCTGTGCTGTAACACCACCAGTCACCATACACATCTTTAAGCAAGGCA